TTGGTGAGGGAGGGAGGGGGGGTGAGGGGTGGGGGAGGGGAGAGAAGTGAACATTGATTTCTGGAACCAACGTCTTGGTGAAGGTACTTTGTGCTGGTACGGTTGGGTGGTTTGTTTGTGTGTGAGTTTGTGTGTGTGTTTTGTGTTTGTGTGTGTGTGTGTGTGTGTGTTTGTGTGTATGTAAGTATGTGGATGTATGGGTGTGTGCTTGATTTGTGTATGTTTTGTGTGTGTGTCTGTGTGTGTATGTTACTCCGTGTGTCTACATGTGTTTTTACAAGTGTGTCTACCCGTGTGTCTACAAGTGTGTCTATTCGTGTTTGTGTCCCCAGGTGTGGGTGGACATATAATTATGCTCCTCTGTGTGTCTACATGTGTGTCTACAAGTGTGTCTGTTTATGCGTGTGTCACCAGGTGTGGGTGGTCGACATGTCCATTCTTCTGCATGTCTACAAGTTTGTCTATTCGTGTGTGTGTTCCCAGATGTAGATGGACATGTGCATTCCTCTATATGTCTACAAGTGTGTCTATTCGTGTGTGTGTTCACAGATGTAGGTGGCAATGTGCATTGCTCTATATGTCTACAAGTGTGTCTATTTGTGCGTGTGTTCCCAGATGTAGGTGGACATGTACATATCCTCTGTGTGTCTACAACTGTGTCTACATGTGTGTCTACCAGTGTGTCTACAAGTTTGTTTACATGTGTGTCTACAAGTGTGTCTACATGTGTGTCTACATGTTTGTCTACCAGTGTTTCTACAAGTTTGTCTACATGTGTGTCTACATGTGTGTCTACATGTTTGTCTACCAGTGTGTCTACATGTGTGTCTACATGTGTGTCTACCAGTGTGTCTACATGTTTGTCTACCAGTGTGTCTACAAGTTTGTCTACATGTGTGTCTACCAGTGTGTCTACCAGTGTGTCTACTAGTGTGTCTACATGTTTGTCTACATGTGTGTCTACCAGTGTGTCTACCAGTGTGTCTACCTGTGTGTCTACATGTGTGTCTATTCGTGTGTGTCTACCCAGGTGTGTGTCTGTGTGTGTATGTTTCTCTGTGTGTCTATGTGTGTGTCAATTTGTGTGTGTGTCCCCAGGTGTGTGTCTGTGTGTGTATGTTTCTCTGTGTGTCTATGTGTGTGTCAATTTGTGTGTGTGTCCCCAGGTGTGTGTCTGTGTGTGTATGTTTCTCTGTGTGTCTCTGTGTGTCTATGTGTGTGTCAATTCGTGTGTGTGTCCCCAGGTGTGGGTGGACGCGGCCAACCAGGTGTTTTTCTCCCTGGGTCCAG